TGACCAGGCCAGCAATCAGGAGGCATTCCTTCCCTCCGTCCCATCCCAAATCCTTATCCCTTCCCAGTGCTAAATAGTCGCAATGGCTCGGCGCATTGTGGGAGTGGGGCGTCGACCCCCAAGACTGGTCTTGTCTCCACATTCCGCACGTCTTGGTTCGAGTCCTCTTCTTATTCCTTCCTTATCATCGTATCTCCACCCTCATTCTCGCTGCCATTTTCACTCCTTGCTCCTGTCGTCTTTCTGTGTCTTCTCTCTTCCCCTACTACTGCTCCTTGGCCAGTATGACCGCCCAGTGTGGGTCGAGGCATGAGAGTGAGGCAAGTGTGGACCAGCACACTCTTAAGCGACCCCAGCCTCGGCTCCCCGCCTCTGACAGCCTTCCCTTCCTCATATTTCTGCTTCCCTCACTCCCTCATCTCGCTCCCCTCTAACACAAACACGCCGTCACATCACACAAGAGAGCCTCACGTATACTACAGAGGCATCATTAAGAACCTCAAGGCTCAGGCGTGGAGAGTGAGATATATTCTAATTTTGTATTTATATAAATATATAATGCAATTCAATTCACTTAACTCTATTATATATATATATATCATTTTAATTAATATCAATTTTGATTTAGAATCTTTGATTCAAGGATCAAAAAATCCAGTGATCCAAATTGGTGAAAAGAAAATGGGAAATTAATTTCCAACACAAAAGTCCAATTATAATAGTTGTGTCAAAACTTTTATCAGTGTTTTGTAAGTAACATTGATAATAAACAATTATCTTCGCATAATTAGACTGAATTAATTACCATTATTTTCAGCATTAATTTATTATTCATTGAAGTATGAATGAGGTAATTAAGGGTCATACATACACATGTATAATTGATATATATATATATATATATATATATATATATATATATATATATATATATATATATATATATATATATATATAGATATATATATATCAAGGCAAAGGCATATATCATGACTCACCAAAAACGCATAGAATTTGACAATTATGATTTATTATGAATTAATTTGAGATATTAAACGAGACATTATGAATTATTTGAGATATTTTACGAGACATTATGAATCATTTGACATATAGATATTGTTTCCATATAGACAAGGAAGCGCAAGAATTTGGAAGAGCTTTTTGTATTTTTATTTTTTTTGTAAACAGTGAACATTTCTTGCTATTGTGTTGAAGAAGGAGGGAGTGAGGGAAGAGTGAGGGAGGGAGGGAGGGTTGGTGCGGAGGGATTGAGGAAGGGTTAGAGAAGGAGGGAGATAGGGGAGGGAAGGAGGAGGGGAGGAGTGAGGGAAGTAGGGAGGTAGAGAGAGAGAGAGGAGCTATACAACACAGTACAAGGTCATAAGGTGGTGGTACAGAAACCTCTCAAGGTAGTGTCCATATAAACACAACCTTCACACACACACACACACACACACACACACACACACACACTTATGTGTTATATGACAAAGAGTGCTGGGAAGACGGGACACCACGAGCGTAGCTCTCATCCTGTAACTACACTTAGGTAATTACACACACACACACACACACACACACACACACAACACACATACCTCCCCAACGCCTCGTAAACAATGACAGCCGCTCCCTACTTTAGGGGAGCAGTTACAGCCTCGCTCTTGTGCCAGGTAAGTCCACCACGGGCTCACCATAGCCCGTGCTATTTGCACCTTTTTATTCCCAGCAGCTGAATCTTGAACAACAAACAACTCCCTATTCAGAACTCCCAAACAGTTCTGAATTGTTTAACACTGAACTTACACGGTTGAACCCCCCCCCCCCCCCCCACCCCCCTACCCCTCAGTACAGACACGTAATGATAACACAACTTATGGACAAAGTTATGCAGTTGGAAATGTCGAAAAAAAAAGGAATAGGCTTTAAACCTCGTGTGTTGTATTAAATACAGCATACATCACTGCCAGTCACGTAGGCCAAACAAATGTATAACAAGTCCTGATGTGGACAAACTGCCCCCAACTAACAACCATCAGAGGAAACCATTAAAAAAAAATCGTAGGCTATTCCGACCCACAGCCGGCCCGCGCACATCTCTTCCTCTTGGACAAACTTTTCAAATAAAACTTAAGAATCCAGTAAGGGGTTCGGCGGATGGTTGGCGGACGGTGGAAGGCTCTTCCTCTGCTCTCCTATCCCAGTCCCTAGTTCTCCTATCCCAGCCCCTAATTTTCCTATCCCAGCCCCTAAAAGGGGGAGAGAGAGAGAGAGAGAGAGAGAGAGGAGAGAGAGAGAGAGAGAGAGAGAGAGGATGAGAGGAGAGAGAGAGAGAGAGAGAGAGAGAGGATGAGAGAGACGAGAGAGAGAGGGAGAGAGAGAGAGAGAGAGAGAGAGAGAGAGAGAGAGAGAGAGAGAGAGAGAGAGAGAGAGAGAGAGAGAGAGAGAGAGAGAGAGAGAGCAAGCGGCAGCAGCGTCGGGTTCATATCTCGTTCAACACAAAACAAAGCTGCAGAAATTCCCGATGCATGCCACCAGGCGAGTCCCGGAGCCGAGAGGGATGAGTTACAAGGCTAAACTAAAGACAGAATAATCAGTAGAGTCATGTTCACTACATACAAAACACTTTGCCGGTGCCAGCCTTGACGTGTGAGAGCTTGGTCCAACAGCCTGTTGCTTTACACCTGTCCCACAGCCATCATCGCCTGTCCCCCCCCCCCCACACACACACACACACACACACGACGCTTCAACATCCACCATCAACACACAGATGAGTGATTTTCAAAAGGTAAAAAATCCATTACTTACGAGAGCAAAGTTGCATTAGTCAAAGAGCCGGAGTCGACGCATAAAGGAGTTCCTTCAAAAGATTAAATGAAGGAAAAACTACAATACCCACGTTACCCTGAGTCGGGACTCCCGCTAACCTCCCGACCGACGACTCTTGACAAATGATAAACATTCCTTTGACACCCAAGAGCGGTTTTGAGAGTCGATAAAGTCATCACTGACTGTGTGGAGAGAGCTGATGGTCGACGCTCACCAAGAGTTGCTCTCGCCACGTGAACCAGGAGAGTGTGTGTATATATAAACACAGCTGATTATGTTAGCATGGTAAATCAGCTTGTTAGGTTGTATCACCAGGTATGCACAGGTGGTGTATGGGTAGAGGTGACCTGCTGGCCTTACTGAAGCACAGTGTGTGTGTGTGTGTGTGTGTGTGTGTGTGTGTGTGTGTGTGTGTGTGTGTGTGTGTGTGTGTACTCACCTAGTTGTGTCTGCAGGATCGAGCATTGACTCTTGGATCCCGCCTTTCGAGCATCGGTTGTTTACAGCAATGACTCCTGTCCCATTTCCCTATCATACCTGTGTGTGTGTGTTTACTAGTTGTGTTTTTGCGGGGGTTGAGCTTTGCTCTTTCGGCCCGCCTCTCAACTGTCAATCAACTGTTTACTAACTACTTTTTTTTTTCCACACCACACACACCCCAGGAAGCAGCCCGTGACAGCTGACTAATTCCCAGGTACCTATTTACTGCTAGGTAACAGGGGCACTTAGGGTGAAAGAAACTTTGCCCATTTGTTTCTGCCTCGTGCGGGAATCGAACCCGCGCCACAGAATTACGAGTCCTGCGCGCTATCCACCAGGCTACGAGGCCCCCTAGGGCCTCGTAGCAATAACACTGGCCCTAACACTGGCAATAACACTGGCCCAAACACTGTGTGTGTGTGTGTGTGTGTGTGTGTGTGTGTGTGTGTGTGTGTGTGTGTGTGTGTGTGTGTGTGTGTGTGTGTGTGTGTGTGTGTGTGCGCGCGAAGCATGCACAGCACCACCATTTAGGCCCTCTTGATAAAAAAAATGCCCCTATCAATATTCACGTACCCATACACCTGCCCCCAAACGCTCACCTACCCAATACACCTGCCCTCCTCCAAACAAGCCTCCAACCCCCAACCCCCTCCCATCTCACCAGCCATAACTGCCCCCGTAACCTCCTAAACGCCTGTCTGACGCTAAAAGAACAATTCACTGAACTCCCCAAAACACGCTACTTCGGCCCAGACCTGTGGGAACTCACCTTGTTTAAGACACAGCGACGGCTTTGTTAGTTCGACTTAACGCACTATACGTTAGCTTATCCGGCGTGTATACAACGAAGTTGTTGGGGTAGGGAGAGGATAGGTAGTGGGGAGGAGGATGGAGGGACAGATGATTGTGGTGGAAGATAAGGAAGGATGGGTGATAGATGGGATGATGAATGATGGAAAGGAAGAACCGGTGGATGATGGGGGAGCAGTGGAGGTGGTTATGAGTAACTGGGGAAGGATAGGGAAGGGGTTAATATTGGTGGTTATTAGGGGTGGGAAAGGTAAGGGGGGGGGGGGCTGGTAAGATAGGAAGGGTGATGAGGAAGGGATGGAGGGAGGGGGGATTGTGGGGACAGAGATGGAAAGGGTGTTCAGGAGGGTGGATGATACACAATATCGTCCCCATGATTAACTCAAGACCCTTAACTTCTCACAGGTAAACTCAGACCCTTAACTTCTCACAGGTAAACTCAGACCCTTAACTTATCACACGTAAACTCAGACCCTTAACTTCTCACACGTAAACTCAGACCCTTAACTTCTCACACGTAAACTCAGACCCTTAACTTCTCACACGTAAACTCAGACCCTTAACTTCTCACACGTAAACTCAGACCCTTAACTTCTCACACGTAAACTCAGACCCTTAACTTCTCACACGTAAACTCAGACCCTTAACTTATCACACGTAAACTCAGCCCCTTAACTTCTCACAGGTAAACTCAGACCCTTAACTTCTCACACGTAAACTCAGCCACTAATCTCTAGGACTAACTAATCAATAGCAACCAAACCATTAACTCAAAACATGAAACAAGAAAATGAAGCAAACTAGTGAATACTGGTAAACAAGATGATCAGTGCCAAGTCTGGCAACAAACCAGGACAAACAAACCAACTGTTTGTTAGGACAAAGATTGCAAACAACTTCAGACAAACCGGAACCGTTATTATGCAAATATAAAGTTGAGATTGGCTTAAACTTCTCGCAGGAGGACGAGGTGGAGGATGGTGACGATGGTGGATGAGGATGAGTAGCGCTAAGGGGACATACTCATCCTTCAAGAGTGGGAGAGAGAGGAATGTCCCGTTGAGTAAAAGTCTCCTGAGCAGTTCCGAGTTCGATCCCCTGTTGCTACAACAAATTACCACATGATTCAAGGCAACAGGAGGCCTATACGAGGCAACTCCTATTTACAACCACCCTAACTGATTCATACAGTATATGTGTCTAAACTACCCTTGAAACAATCCATCGATCCCAAGTCTATTGTGTTACCCACTAATTAGTTCCCTAAATCAACCACCCTGTTTCTAAACTAGTGTTTGCCTGAAGCTAAACATTATCAAATTGATATCCATTGTTTGGAGTTATATTTTGATCTAAATTATATAAAATATAAACAGATTATATACAGTATAGGAACGAATTGAAATTGTGATGAAGCGTTTATTGGAGAAAGCATCATCGGTATGTGGCCACCGGAACATATTGGGCACTCGAGGTATTTTTTAGGACTGAGTGAGGGAGCTCAGTCACTCCTGACACACAGAGCCTGCCTCCTGACACCACCCCTGCCTCCTGACACCACCCCTGCCTCCTGACACTACCCCTGCCTCCTGACACAACCACTGCCTCCTGACACTACCCCTGCCTCCTGACACCACCCCTGCCTCCTGACACAACCCCTGCCTCCTGACACCACCCCTGCCTCCTGGCACTATCCCTGCCTCCTGACACTACCCCTGCCTCCTGACACCACCCCTGCCTCCTGACACCACCCCTGCCTCCTGACACCACCCCTGCCTCCTGACACTACCCCTGCCTCCTGACACCACCCCTGCCTCCTGACACAACCCCTGCCTCCTGACACCACCCCTGCCTCCTGGCACTATCCCTGCCTCCTGACACTACCCCTGCCTCCTGACACAACCACTGCCTCCTGACACTACCCCTGCCTCCTGACACCACCCCTGCCTCCTGACACAACCCCTGCCTCCTGACACCACCCCTGCCTCCTGACACTATCCCTGCCTCCTGACACTACCCCTGCCTCCTGACACCACCCCTGCCTCCTGACACTACCCCTGCCTCCTGACACCACCCCTGCCTCCTGACACTATCCCTGCCTCCTGACACCACCCCTGCCTCCTGACACAACCCCTGCCTCCTGACACCACCCTGCCTCCTGGCACTATCCCTGCCTCCTGACACTACCCCTGCCTCCTGACACCACCCCTGCCTCCTGACACCACCCCTGCCTCCTGACACCACCCCTGCCTCCTGACACTACCCCTGCCTCCTGACACCACCCCTGCCTGACACTACCCCTGCCTCCTGACACCACCCCTGCCTCCTGACACTATCCCTGCCTCCTGACACTATCCCTGCCTCCTGACACTATCCCTGCCTCCTGACACCACCCCTGCCTCCTGACACCAGACAAAAACAATAACATTCCGTATCCTGGACAAAAACCAACGGTGTATTTTGCACGGAGAGTATTCCAATTTTATCTACACACAGCCAATTAAGCAGTATTTGCAACTAATAAAAAATACTTATTTTTCCATAGTACGGTCTAACTGTATTGCGCTGGAGAGCCGCCCAGAGTCATCTGGTAGTGGTGAACCACAATTTTTATAAACAAACCATTATATATATATATATATATATATATATATATATATATATATATATATATATATATATATATATATATATATATATATATATATATATTTGAGTTTTCAAATATATATATATTTGAAAACTCACACCCCAGAAGTGACTCGAACCCATACTGCCAGGAGCACTCTGCATCTGGCGTACAGGACACCTTATCCACTCGACCAACACGACCGGACAAAAGAGAATGGTAGCCGAGGAGCAGAGGTGTTGTTTGTAGGGGAGGGGTGATGGGGTAGTGAGGGGGGGTTATGGTGGAGGTGTTGAGGGGGGCGGGATGGACTCCACCTGCTACATGTGTTCGAGTCCTACCTTCCTTCCACCTTTTGATCAATCAATACAATGACTTATACCTTATGTCTGTCGACGTATTTTCATTTAAATCCCCCTGATAATTGTCCACGCTACATCGCCTTACAGTGTGCCGGACTGTACGACTAAAGAGTACAAACCATATGAGTTTGGTGAGTACAAACTGATGAGTACAAACCATATGAGTTTGGTGAGTACAAACTGATGAGTACAAACATTTGTATGTTTGTGAAACACTACGAGAAGCCTGGTGCTTCATCTATCCCAGCATCGCCGGCAGTGGCAACAGCCTTATCAACATCACTTTCCTACACTTGTCCTTGAGGTTATCTTGAGATGATTTCGGGGCTTTTTCGTGTCCCCGCGGCCCGATCCTCGACCAGGCCTCCACCCCCAGGAAGCAGCCCGTAACAGCTGACTAACACTCAGGTACCTATTTTACTGCTAGGTAACAGAGGGGGCATAGGGTGAAAGAAACTCTACCCATTGTTTCTCGCCGGCGCCTGGGATCGAACCCAGGATCCCAAGTCCAGCGTGCTGTTCTTAGGGTAGTATGGATGATGTTCCCGCTGGTGGTGAATTTATGAAGACATCTGAACGCTTCCGT